GCTGTTTGGCATTCTATACGCTTCCCTTATTTGTATGTCAAAATCTGTATCTAAGTTTGGGAAGTTTTCTGCCATTATTTCTAAGAGATTTTTAATGGCTTTTGTGCTGTCTCCAGCTTTTTCATTGATTCCAGTTAATCTCATGTTTTTCTTCTTTGCTTCATCCAGTAGCTGTTAGATTGATTTTTTCATGGTCTCATGATTTTTAAGATATTTTTCTTTTCCTGGTCAGTAGTAGCATTCCTGTCTTCTAAGTATGATAGTCTCTCCTTGCCTTCATTCAAATTGTTTTGTACACTTTCATTGAAGTTTCTAATCACATTTCTGTTGGGAACTGTTTCATTGATTCCATTTCTAGTCTGTTTATGGCATTTATGATTTCCAACATTTTCTTGAGTTCTTTTATTTATCTGTGTCTGCTTTAATGTATTCATTTAGATAATCATTTATTTTTGTACCTTACAATTTTTTTTTTGTGGCCTCTGCCATTTGTTTTTCCACTTCTATTGGTATCATTTCAGAGAGTTCCATTTGTTGGCTTCTGATTTATTGTGCTCTGGACTTGTCCTAGATGTACTGGGTACTTAGGATTGCATTTTGCTTCTTTGTCTTGTCATTTTTTACTTTATTTTGTTTTCTGTGTGATACTTGTAGATTGCTTATGTTGGATAGCCTTATCACTGGTTTTAAGGCTTTCATAGGAGACGTCTGTTCCTCTGGATGTCTTCTGGATGTAGGTGATTCTTGATCCTTATATCCATCCCAAGAAATTACCTTCCCCATACATTAAGTTGAGGAGTTGGTATCAATTTGACTTAGGGCTGATTCCTTTGGTACTAGACTATAGTAAGGGTTATGACTCCTTAAAATTGCAGTGTTGTCATACAGGGAAGAACATCCTGATCAGAGTAGTTTAGTTGGCAATAACAATAGGCCCAATTATAGCCTGGCTACTGACAAACTGTGGTAACTATTAGCCTGATATCTATAACCATAAGAGGAAGGTACACAGAAATATTCTCTAACTTTAAAAATTTATTTACTTATTTATTTGGTACAGATTCTTTCTATGCAGCTCAGATTCATAGTGATCCTCCTGTCTCAGCCTCCCCATTGCTGGGATTACAGGCCTGTGCCACCATGCCTGGTTTCGGTAGCCTGCATGGCTGGTGCCAGTGTGGTATTTGGTACTGGGGATCAAACTTGGGTCCTTGTGCTTGTTGGGCAGGCACTTAGACTGCTGAGCTATCTGTCCAGCCCAATATGATCTAACTTATACAAGGAACTAATATGCAATGATTTTCCACTTAGTAGAATGACTTTACCTTGTTATGTGGGGAAGGGCTTCAAGAGCATAGTTAGTAGGAGGGAGAGATGAATGAGGATAAATACATTTGGAGCAAGGCTTGGGGAGCTTAGGATGATCATTCCAGATTGTGGGTAACTGTAGGACACAGGAGGGAAGGACTGAATGAGGAGGCTTAGGAGTTTTGAAGTAAACCAGAAAGAAGAGACACTGTTTACTGGCATGAAAGTATTATAAAGTCAAGTGAGATAGTTGATGAAAGAGAGAAAGATGGTGAGTAAAATAAAACAAAAAGAATTTAGAGATCACCTGTAGCTCATATTGCTAGTATTGCATGCAATATTTCCACTCCTCTGGATCTATCAGTCCATTGTGTAAATGCTAGCCAGGATCCTACTGTGTTGCTGAAATTCCCACAGGTCTCTGGGCCCTGGGTCCCACCAGTGAGGGGAGGGAGAGATGAACCTCATTCTTCTATCATCAGCCATGCCATCTGGGATAAAGGGAGAAGGGGAGGAAAGTAAGTTTACATTTCTCTCCTGAGTGGCTTTTTTCATATTTTAGTATGGGTCTCATAAGAACCATTCTTGCTGTTTCTTTCTTTTTTTTTTTCTATCTAGGATTTAAAAATTTTTTAAATTAATTTTATTGAGAAACAAACAGCAATGAAACAGTTTCAAAACAAGTTAGTAGGGCAGTTTCAATAATTAATACATTGCATATTGTTGTCTTCATAGTCGTTATTCATAGTACAAGATGTAGACATGATATCCTGTCCAAACACTATTAGTGCAAATCTTTCTTCTCATTGAATTAAGAGAAAGTAGCTGTATATCTATCCTAACTATTTTGTATATATAGATACAAAATGGTCCTTCATTTCTGTCCTTTTTTTGTTTAGTTTTGTCAGAGATGGGTATTCCATTGCCACTTAAATATTGTAGGTGCGTGAATTCAGCAAAATAATCCAATATAGTCCAGTAGTCCATAATAGTAGTGGGTTATCTGTAGGACAGGCAATGTCAGAAGTTGTTGACTTGAACCCTTTATAGCTAAGCATATTAATATGGCTTTACTTTTTATTCCTTGTTTTTATACTTTTCTTCTGGATGATTAAGACCAAGATAAAGCAAGACTTTATATAACTTGTTATATAACTTTATATAACAAGAAATGTAACTTTTGTATCTGACAAGGTCAGTAAAATCCCCTCAAGATTTGCCCTGAAATCCTGTTCTGCAGTTTCTAGATCCTTTGTCAGCCATGTGGATGAGTCATGGCCATTGCTTGACCAATTTGCTCTCTGTGAAAGTCTGAGAGAATGTTTTCTCTCCATGTGACTCTCCTTAGGCACACTCTACATCATCGATCACTTTCCTTTGTGGCTCCATAATCTCCTTAGTCAGCAAATTTGGGAGACAGTTGAGTTATGGGATGTTACAGTACAGGTTCTCCTATGTCCTGAGTCCTCACTGACCTTGAAAGGCTAGGGCTGAAATGTTGGCTGTCCTTACAGTCCTTCCTTTTCTCTAATTTTTGAGGCTGGGGAGATAGCTCAGTAGAATAAGTGCTTGCCTGGGAAGTACAAGGGCCTGAGTTCAATCCCCAGTTCTGAAAAACAAAACAAAAACAAAAAACTGTGCCATTTCTTTTTTATTCGAAGAATTTCTTTATCTTGCCCTCATTATTGAAGATGGTCTTGCTAGGTAAGATTCTTTATAGCTTTTTTTTGTTTGAAGACTTCATATATTATTCCACTGTCTTCTAGATTCCATTGTTTCTGATGACAGGTCAACAATTAATATCTTTGGGGTTTGCTCAAAAGTGACAAGTCCTTTTCTGTTATTACTGCATTTAAAGATTTTTTTTCCCCTCATCTCATCTCAACATTTGGAAGGCTGAGGTAGGAGGTTTGCAAGTTTGAATCTTATCTGGGATATAAAGAGATACCCTGTCTCAAAATAAGGGCTGAGTTCCTTCTCTGTGAAGGTCCTGGGTTCCACCTCTAATATCATCAAAACAATACGAAACACAACAAAAACCTCCCAACTTCTTGTCTTATCTTGACTTTCAGCATATTTTTACAATGATCTGTTAATAGCTTGCCTTGTGTTTACTCTAGTTGGAGAATGTTGAACTTCCTTGATGTCTAAATTAATATTTTTCCAATACATTTGAGAAGTTTTTGGCTATCATATCTTTAAATAGTTCACCTTCCTTTCCTTTGCTCCATTCCTTCTTGTACTCCCTTTTTTTTTTTTTTTTTTTTTTTCTGTTTAGGTCAGGATGTACAGGGTCTCATTGCGTAGATTGGACTCGTGATTCTCCTGTTTTCAGCCTCCCAAGTGCTGGGATTACAGGTGCATACCACCACGCCCAGTCTCCATCGCCATCTCAGTGCACCCCATGGGCAGGGATGGCATGGCACACCGGGGATCAAACCCTAGCCACTGCCTTCTGCCTAAGCATGTGCTTTAGTCTGCTGAACTATCAAGCTGGCCCTCCCCAATTTGCATATTTGGTAGACTTAATAGAACCTCACACTTCATTGGCACTGTTAACTTTTTATTCATTCTTTGATTTATTAAAGTACTAGTTTTTGTCTACTGTTAGCTTTCTCTTTCTCTAGTCCTCTCCTATAGAATGACCAACACAAAATTAAGCCTACATGCCTAATGAACCTATCAGTCTCCTCTAATACTTTTATCATGAACTCTTTTTTTTTCAGAGAGCATTGTTAGATTTGAACTTCTCCAGCCTCTGTTGTACATGAAGTAGCAAATTTGCTTTAATCAGTTGACATATGTCCTTAGATTTCCAGAGATTTTAAACATACTTCTTTCTTATATAATTTTCACCAATTTCTCTGTGTGGTAAGTTCTTAGAGTTCACACATATTCTCATTCCAGAAGTTGATCTCCCTGAACAATACAATATGTTTTTAAGAAAAAGCTTGAGTCTCCTTTATAGTCATCTGACTCTCAAATCCAGAGTGTCCTCATTAAGGAGAATAGCTCTGAGATTGGGAGTAGCAGAAGAAAGGAAGTCAATATGTTAAGTTCTAAGTTATTCCAGAATCTTTCTTTCCCTTTGACAAATTTAGTCTCTAGTGAGACGATTCATTTTCTTCTGTTATCTAGAAACCACGTTGATTAAAGCAATCAAAGATGATGATAAAAATTCTTTAGCTTTTCTTTGATCTAGAATAAGGGCAGGCTTCAGCTTGTAGAGGATTTTGAAAGAGTTGGTTGAGTATTGTAAACCATGCTGTTGGGAATGTTCTTACTCTCTGCTGTTCAAATGAGGAGCTCGTGCATATAACAGAGCTGATGCCTCCAAGGACATCTTGTTGAAATGAAAGAAATATCTGGAAGCCTCAGAATACTTTGTGGGTCTTAAGTAGTTCTGGGATCCAAAAGGAGAAACCATTCCTTTTTATGTGTAGTTGGTAACTTGAATGACATCATTAAGCATCTAAAAGTTCCTTTCAAAGTTATCTTATTTACTGTAAGAATCAGCTTCAGTCTTGAAATATATTTAGGGCTGTTTGATATAGGAACATGTTTCTACTGATCATTGTAGTTGTTTTTAATTAAATTCATGAGTGGTTTTTCATGAATTTTCAAAAACTACAATTATTATTTAAATGAACTATGGATATTCTTGGTGTTTCCAAAATTTTATGTCTTTGTAGAGCTCTATTTAAAGGATGACAGAAGCTCATTTGGTCAGTTTCCAAAAGTTAAAGATGAGTCTACTCTTAGCATCATAAAGGTAAGTCTGCAGATTTTTTAATAGTGAATCAGTGACCAAGATGCACACTCTTAAGCCCTGGACAGGTACAGTTTCAGAGTGGTAGTTGCTGTTGGGAGACCAGAGAGCTTTTCTTGCATAGGGATTGGTTGGGGCCAGAGGTAGAGTGTGTTCTCCCCAAGAAAAGTAGTTTCCCTGAGGTGTAAGGCTTTGATTTATCAACCCAATAAGTTGCTGCAGAAGATATAATTTATTATGGGATGAGATTTGAGTATTCCGTGCTTTTTCTCATTTCCTAATCCTAGTGATAACAACAGCAACAGCTACCATTTATTCAGTGCTTACTACATGGTAGGCATTTTGCATGATTATTTGATTTTATGACTCTCTGTTATAGTTATTAATCATTTTTCACTCTATAGTACTGGATCATGAGAAAAACTAGCTGAAAGAGTACATGAAATTCAGCAATGGCATGCATATAATAAAATAAAGGTCTGGGAGCAGGGCCTATGCCTTTTTGATTAAATATCTATGTTCTTAACAATTTTTTAAAATTGATCTAGAATTTGTGTGATATTCACTACTCTGCACAAATTTTTAGAGATCCCTTAATTGAAAGATTGTTTTTTTAGTCTTCTGCCATATCCAGTTGCTACTTATTATTGACTGTCTACTGTAAAATCTCATTATCATCATACTGTCAATTAGATAACCATAGTTTCACATGAAATATAATCCATCTTCGTTATTCATGGATTCTATTTGTTAATTTGCTTGCCTGCTAAAATTTATTTATAGCTTCAAAATCAATATTGTTGGCATTGTTTAGATCCTTTGTGGACATCCCAGGACCCCAGAAGAATCTGAGTTGCCCAAAGAGCATGCTCCCAGCCAGGTGGAACAAGATGATGCTCTGAGTTCTTTGTTTCAGCTTATAATGTGAACAGATATCTTTTTCTACAAGTTTCTGGTCTGTCTCAAATGGGTTGAGCAGATGTTGTCCAAAGTGCTTTCAAAACAGAAGAGCTGGAGATTTGATTCTTTTTATTTTGTAGTATTTTCATAGAATTCACTGGTTGTGTCCCTAATCTGAAAATCCAAAAATCCAAGAAATCCTCTAGTATTTGAAACTTTTGAGTTTCTTGTTGATGCTAAAATGTTTTATTTCAGAGCATTGTGAATTTCAGATTTTTGCATTAGGGTTACTCAACCTATATGTCATTTTTATACTATTTTTCTTGATGAGTTTGATTTTTAAATGCTTTCTACCATAAGCAACTAAAAAAATAAAATGCTCCCAAAGCAATAGCATTTAGGGGCCACCTAGCATTTCTAGGTTTGAGAAAGTCTGGGTGTGCTTTACAAAGGAAATGCGTGTGTTATGTAAGGTTTGTTCAGACCTAAGTCAGCAGTTTTGTTGCTTGTAAGCCCCAAGGTAATAAATCCACAATGTATATTAATTATTTCTTCAAATATAAGTACACATTAAGCAAGGCAATGTATAGATCAGTTTATGAATACATGGTCACCAGAGGTTCGCAGGAAGCCTGCCTGTGTATTGTCCTGGGGAGTTATGGCGTAGGAGTCACTAATTAGTGTTCGTAGCAATTTAGTAGAACTTAATGGAACTAGTGCTAACTTCGAGCAGGGTGGTACAGGGGGATTGCTGTCTGTGTCGCTGCCAGCTGGTACTGAATTCCTTCTATTGCCTGCTTCCTGTTCCCCGAGCTCCCTTCTCTGGTGACTAGGCACAAATTCCCCTTCTGGCCTTCCACTCACAGTTACTGTTCGGTACATGAAAAGCGTGAGAGAAGAGCGAGACAGTATTTGCGAGCTCAGGTGATCTTGTGTTCTTTCTGCAGTCGGTTTTGCTGATGGAGGCAGAAGACAAGCTCAACTCCCTTGTGTCCGAGGTGGAGTGCGCGGGCCACAAGAGCCTCTCGGAGTGCTCCGCGGGCGAGCTGGAGTCTGTGGTGGAGGCCAGGCTTCAGCTGGCGGCCGTCGCCCTGCAGCGGCACCGGGCAGCCTACAGGTCAGTGTCAGGGCGCCTGTCTGAGTCCTTCCCCAGCCAACGAGCCCTGGTGCGCCCTCCTTTGATGCTGCTTACAAGTTGGGTATCCTACTTTGTTAAACACCCTCAGATGTAAGTTTTCGATATGCCAAAGCTTTTTATTATTCAGGGAACTTTTCATAAATTATGACAGCTAAAATTGCAACTCCCAACAATGAGACTGCTTTAAGAAAGCATAATAACTAGGCTGCTAAATGCTGTGTGTAGAGTGACCAAATTAACCGTGCTTTGGTTTTCATTTAATTTTTAAAATACTAAACCTAAATTATTTATAGATTCTTAAAAATAAAGACTATGGCATATATTTTTCTTAAACAACAAATAAAAATCCTGAAAAGATCTACTTTGAAAAGCTAACCATCTTCTGAACTACTGTATGTTGTGCTGAATTATTTAAGAAACTGTTGTAGGTGATGGATTATTCAAATGTGCCATAATTGTTAGTGTCAAATCTTTCATATGACTTGTTCATTAATTCTTTAATTTACTCATTAACCACTTCACTGCCAGGCTCTAATCTAGGCCACTTAGGATACAAAGATGAGCAGAATATAGTTCTGGCATGCATGTGCTCACAGACATATAAAAGTTATATAGAGTAGTAAAAATAATATATTCACAGTGATTTTTATAGTTAATAATATAGAAATATACTTTGAAGAATTTCTTGTACTATTTGTGATAAACACTTTTATCATGAGGTCCTCTGACATGTTTGATCATGATTATTTAATAATGCCTTTGTTTCTTATAATTTATTCATTAGAAAACAATTTTGAGGGGCCAGTGAGGTAGCTCAGTGGTCTAATGTGCCTGCTTAGGCAAGCTTAGGCAAAGTGCAGGGACTGCAGTTTGATCCCTGGCACTGCATGCTGTGCTGGCCCTGCCCCCAGGGCAAGCAGAGCCAGCTACAAAAAAAAAAAGAAAGAAAGAAAAAGCAATTTTGAACACTTACTGTATGCTAGGCACTGTTCTCCAGCAGTTCTTGGGAAATATTACTGCCCCAGTGCTCATATGGAGAAGCTAGCCGAAATACACAATGATGGTGGTGAAACCTTATCCTCATGCAGTTTATATTTTCATGGATAAAAGCAGGCTGATACATCCGATAATCCTAAGTCTGATACAGCGCGGCAGAATTGCTGAGTGCTGTGGGGACATCGGGAGCCGAGATGGGGAGAGGAGGGAGTTAGCATTTCAGAGCTGTGGGTTGTGACCAAGAACGTGGCTCTGTCTCTTCAGTGGTGAGCAACTTTTAAGCTGCACCTCTCCCATTCCCCTGCTGTGGTGTGGGCAGACAGGGGAGATCACTTGGTCTCTTCTTTGGTGCTGGTGGAAAATTAGAGCCCTTCCAAGCCTGGCCCATGTGTAGGAACACTTATTCCAGTTTCAGCACCTAGGAGCCCAGCGCCCTCAGTCTGTCTCCTTGTTCCATCAAGACATTGCCAACATTTCTGAGAGCCTGCCTTTCCCTCACTGGACAGCATGATGATGCACGCTGTAAGTTTTCTTGTACCGTCCTGAGGGGTGTGTGTGTGTGTGTGTGTGTGTGTGTGTGTGTGTGTGTGTGAGAGAGAGAGAGAGAGAGAGAGAGAGAGAGAGAGAGAGAAATGTGACTGGGGAACAATCCATGATTAGCCATATCTTCTGAGCCTGATTTTACACTACAGACCATATAGGCTTGGAAGAATTCATGACTTCTGGTTTCTGAGCAGTACTGAAACCTCAAACTTTGTTCAGAGCATCAGTTGTCAATCAATGTGTGGTGCAGGCCTGTGTCTGGGACCCATTCAGGCTCATGAGGCCAGAAGAATTTGCTATGGTAAAATAAAGACACCATTTGCCTTCTTCAGTATATCTATATATCTATATCTATATCTATATCTATATCTATATCTATATCTGTATCTAATTTTTTTTATTTATTTATGAGAGAGAGAGAGAGAGAGAGAGAGAGAGAGAGAGAGAGAGAGAGAATGTGGCCAGCTCAGCCCACCAGGGGGCAGGGCTGGCTGGCATGTGGTGCTGGGGGATTGAACCGCGGTCCCTGATGCTTTTGCTAAGCTTGTTCTAAGTAGGCGCTCTAGACCACTGAGCCATCTCTCCAGCCCTATATCTGTATCTATATCTATATATTTGTGTGTGTGTGTGTGTGTGTGTGTGTGTGTGTGTGTGCACGCACACATGTATGTTTTAGTACAGAGTCACATTACATAGATTGGACTTGTAGTGATCTTCGCCTTTTCAGCCTCCCAAGCCCTAGGATTACAGGAACGCACCACCATGCGCAATTTCAGTCTATGTCTCAGCGAGCCCCGGGGCAGGGCCCACATGGCATGGGGGTGGAACCCAAGTCCCTGCACCTGCCTAAGCAGGTGCTTTAGTCCACTGGGCTATCTGGCTGGCCCTTCTTCAGTATATTGTTTTCCTTGATGCTGAAAAGGCAGCGGTGGAAACATAGATGTCTCACCGTGACTCAAGCCTGTGGCAGTGAACTATCGTAGCATTATTTGTTTTTAATCCTGAACACTTGAATTTAAGAAAAAAAACCAAAAAACAGTTGTATTTAAGAATGGCTTTGTGAAGCAGGACAAGTTGTTTGTGGCACTTCCAGGCTCCTGTCCTGGAATGTGCGTGTCCCATGTGGAGGGAATCCTGAATGGGACGTGTGCTTAGGCACTGCTGCTGCGTATCTATGCTGGCGGTTGAATTGAGAGCTAAATAGGATGCTCCTTTTTGTGGAAAACCACCGTTACTTGCAGAAAGCACCTGGCAGATGTGGTGCCTCAGCTTTGTGTGTTTGGCAGGCATTTCCTTGAAAGAAAGCAAAGTGAGCCTGCCACATCTGGGCAGAGAACTGATAGTATTTGTGTCCTGTGATAAAATTTGATCCTTCTTAGGAAAATTAGAATTTTGGACAATTTGTGTTTGCCACCATGAGCCTGACAGTTTACTGGTACTTACCAGTTTTTTCTGATGAGATGAGTGAGAATATTAACAAAAAATTTTTTTAGTTGTATTATGAAATAATTCACTATTTTGGGTATCTGCAACTCAGGGTGATACTTTCTCAAAATGACCAGAGTAAAGTGCTAGAAAAGCTGGTCAGCAAGATAGACCACTAGATTTAAATGTAATGGGGGTAGGAAAAGTCCACCCATATGTGGTGTTCAGTTCTGCGTGGTGGCAAACTGAAGAAACTATCACTTGTCACATGTTGGTATAATATTCTGAGGGTTAAACTGGGCTGCTTCAGCCTGCTTGGCTTGGGGTCTGTGCAGGGAAGCACATGTGTGGGTGGGGCACAGAGGCATGACCTTGGGCCCTGTGTCCACTTCAGGCCCCTTCCTCTCTGGCGCTGTTCTACTCCTGCCACCATGAATGCCACCACTGTGCTCTGCCAAGTCCTTCTACCATGATGATTCTACCTCAGAGCCAGCCAACAATGGACTGACCCCCCTTAAATACAGAAAAGGAAACCCTTTGTCCTTTAAATGAGACACTGGAGTTACGTCCCAGCAACAGGAAAGCTAAATAATGCAGTATAACATAAAAACGGAGTTATTTGAAGATGCTATTAAAATTATCCCTTTAATTCCAACAGTTATCTGTGTGAGGACTAATTGTTTTCATGTACTTCATCCAAGACCATACATCACAACAGACTGAATATTTCTCAGGGACCTGGCTGAGATCCCCAGCTGCCTGGATGGGGGTACAGTGAAGGGGGAGGAAAAAACAGACACAGATTTAGTAACTCATAAAAGGGGAGATGGGAGGTTAATGCCTCAGGATGGGCCAAATCAAAGACACTACAGGCTGACCACTTTCTAGTGGGTTCACACAATAATCAGAGGGATTATTAGATGACTCAGAGGCAGTGTGGTCTTTAAGGAGGATCTTGCCTTGGAGGTCTTTAGCGGGTGGGAGAGGAGGGCCCACTCCTAATGAGATCTTGGGAAATCTCAAAAGGATGATACCAATAATCCCAAGCCTCTGTTCCTCCCTTAGAGAAGTATGTAAAGCTAGCCATTGTGAACTTGTGTGGCCCCAACCAAATGATCGAGCAGATACTAAAGTAAATAGTCTCTTGTTAAGCCAGACATTAAGAGAAAATACAGTTGTTTTGCTTGTAAATACCTTGTTTATATTAGCATGTAATGGATTCATTACTATTTTGAGATGAGTTGAAGAGTGAAGGCATTTTGATTGCTCAGTTTAGTTTCCACTATGATAAATGTGTATAAAGCCCTTGGAGGTCCCAGATAACTTGGAGGGATGCTGAGCTGAAGCTCGAGATGGGCCAGGTTGGAGGACTGGCACATTGGTAACTACCTTTAAGGATGCAGTGGTAGTTTATTGATAAGAAAAAAAGATTTACCCATAATAAAGTGGTAGTCATTTACCCCACTGAAGTTTGAAAAAAGAGGAAGTCCTGAGATACCACTTTCTACAGACCACTTTTTCTTCAAACTATGGCTGAGAAAGTTGCAACAACCCTCAAAAATATTTTTTTGTCATTTACGTTCATTGTTTGTCCACTCTGTATCTTATACCTTTTGGAATGGAGAGGATAAGTGATTTTTTTTAGGGAGAAAGGAGGAAATGAGAACATAAAAATTATAAAATGGCCACAGAAAGGATTGTCATAATAGAACTTTAATTCGAAGACCAGCTGGACATATGCAAATACTGTGCAGGTATATCGGAATTGCTCCCACTTTAAATACACGAACCTGGCCCTTGGGACAAAACCTACAAAAAACTTTGATGTTATTTCCTTTGTGGATCAGGCTTGTCATTTGGGGGAAGCCTACTGTCAGGATGAATGAGTTTTTCTACCATGAACTTTACCCCCTGTGAGCTTCTGTTTGGGCACTGCTGAGAGTGTTGGACAGTCCCTTTTCCAAATGACGGTTAGCCTGACATTTCCTGATACTTCTAATAAAATTATGTGTCAA